GTATTAATTATTACTTGTGAAGGTTATTAGCACTTTGAAAATTATAAAATGGATCGGGGTGTTACAATACAAGCAATCACGAACTGAATGAAACCCTCTACAGTCTCAACCTAAAACATAAATCATCTGTCACTTGATCATATGTGCACTTATGTTTAATTCGAAAGAATCCCGAAGCTAAAATACATTACAATCAATCCAGTTCATCGCATAGCACACGTTTTAAAACCCTAACTAGGTCTAGGGTTCCAAAATCATACGAACACCACCAATCACAGTTCAAATAACATGTTAAAAATTTAAATAACGTACTTGATAAGTTTGGAAAAGGCTCCAGAAATCCTACCCATTTTGAAATTGAGAAACCCTACCTGTGACACCCCTAAAACCGAGGGTTCTTTATCAACCGTTAACCATCCGTCAACCTGCAGAAATACTCATGGTTGTCGCACAACTTGACGTCACATCAATAACATCTCCTTAACCGTGATTATAACCCACACGTGTAACCCCGTGTACATTTTATCATTTAATCAAATCGTGGTCTAATGTACCACATTTCATACTCAATTATAATTCATTTATATCTTTGGGACCAAAGAACCCATAGTCCAAAAGTATGGCAAAACAATTTTAAAATTTCAGATTTTTGGAATATGTACCGGTAGGCCCTACCGGTATGAGTTGCCCATTGGACCTCGTCCTACCGGTACATCCTACCGGTATGCTTTGGAAGATGTATCGGGATGCCTTACTAGTATGAGTTGCCCACTGAATCTCGTTATACCGGTATACCCTACCGGTATGCTTTGCCGACTTTTGCCTATTTCACCTGTTTTGCATTTCCAACTCATTCCAACCTATCCCCTTTCCATCCAACACATGTGTAATGAAGATTTTCATATTACACAAGGTCTATACAATTTCGATTACATGAATTTACATGCCAAACTAGATTTTTATAATAATTTACAAAACACTCAAAATAAAGTCACATCCCAGCTTTCTTCATCCTTGAGGTCCCGTGTGAGGCCCTTCTACCGTAGATAACCCACACTTGAAATATTTTCCCGTATAGGGTGAGCCACGCCTAGTAGAGTATTTCCTACAGAGGCTACTCCCTGACCTAAGTGCATATACAATGCTCACATGCAACACTTAACAAGTAACTACCATTCCAACTAAGATTTAAGCAAGTTTATGTCAGAATCTAATTTGTCATGCCATGATATGAGATGACACTCATTCATGCACTTTACCCCGAACCCTCACCGGTTTCCACCACACAATACAATGCCAATGTATGAAAACTCTACCATTGATGAATTACATCCAATGATTATTTTGAAATAAAGTCATGTAGTTATAAAACCAAGTCATTATTGGATGTTACACATCGAATGATTATTATTAACAACAAATACACTTTTTCAGAATTTCACCTCACGGGAGTGTACAAACCAGGTATTTTATAAAACAAAATCCTTGTGTCTTTGTTGGGTAGCGGAGTTCTTGGAGTCACACCGCCGGTTCCGCACACCGTGACACTCTTCCGAAATTTCACCTTAGGGGAGTGTCTAAATCAGGTGCTAGGTCTTGCACCCAAGAAAAAATCTAGCCCTACTTGCTATACCCGACACAAGTTTTTAATGCAACTGTGCGACTCATTCGGATTTTCAATCCAACTTTCCCGAGCCCACCCATCAACCACCAAGTATAGTGTTTGATTAAACCATACACACACCTATACCCACACCCATATCTCATGCCTATGGTTGTGATGTTTCCGTACAAATACAATGTAATACACCATTGCTATATGCATGTCATGCTCTATATGTAATGAATGTCATATGAGCAAATTTAACCTCATATATACATATTCCATGACAATCCACATCTCATGCATATAATCACCATTTCATTTACACAATTTCCAAGCATGTTATCACATAATCATGCAATTAACACACTAAACTCATCAAGGCAATAATGTAAACATATAACATGCCCATAAATCACATTTCCATGGAATTACACAAGCAACTACCACATATCAATTCTAAGCTAGGAATTCATTTCAAAACATTTCTAATATTCATTTCTATCAATTTCACAACAATTGGTAAGTGATATATAATTCTATCAACCTACCCATTACATGTAACATTTGGTACGTAGGCGTAACCCTCGACAAGAGGAACAACTTTTCTTCTTGGCTTGGGTTGATTTGAGCAAAGCTTGGCCCTAGATTTACAAAGGAAAAGCTTGAGAAACCCCTTGTTTCTCCCTCTTCTTCTCTCTCTCTCTATCGGTTAACGGTTGAGAAATGTGGGGGAGAAAATCAAATTTTTCCCTCTATTTATACCCTCTAATTTGCTTGGCCCATAACACGCCACACGACACTATTTTTTTTCGGGTCCTTTTTCATCCCGAAACGATTAAATTTCGTCCTGATTCAAGTTTAAAATATTTTTATTTTAAATTGCCTCAATTTATTTTACAAATTTTATTAAAAAATTTATTTTTGGGTCACCCGAGACTCGATCGCCTCGTAAAATGTGAAAAATTTGACTATCTCGAAATTCGATGAAATTTGACAAGGTAGCTAGATTTAGCGAGACGAATTCAACGATGAAGTTTGTTTCGTCATCTAAGATCTAAAAAATTTTAGATTTTTAACCCGTACCGCAACGACAAATTACTATTTTACCTTTTTTTGTGAAAAGTTCAAATTTACTTGTGTTTTCCACTACCTCAGTCCACACACGTTGATCCGAAAACTACCAAAAATAGAACAATAAAAATTTTCAGTGAAATTTTACACGCAAGTATATTTTAACATGTTATAAATGAATATTAAATTGGGTTCGTCAAAATCCCCCTTAACATAGGCCAAATTGGGGTTAAGGGCAAATTAGTCATTTTGCCCTAGGCTTCTACTGGGGCCTTGGATCATCGAGTTTGGGAGGGGGGGGTTGAGGGTGGTACAAGACCTCCCTTGGAGTCTTAGGAGTCCAACGCCACCAAGGGCTACTCCACCACCCCCCTCTTTTTTTTCATCTTATTCAACCTCTTCAAACCCTAGGTTTCAACGACTAGCCTAACCCCCCTAGTATGACCCCTAAGTTCTTACTCCCTAGTACACCTACACACCCATTCCAAAGCCAATTAACTCAGTAAACAACCTAGTTTAAATCCCTATACCCCACTTCCTCTGAATCAAACTCAAATTGCACAAATCAAGGTCATAGTAAACTTCAATGTTGTTTTGAAAGTGTTGAGCACACATGCAAATGGATTTTTGACACACCAAACAACCTTCTTTTCCAAATCTAATACCATATTTGGATTCTTGACCCCAAATTAGTTAGGCTCAAGCCCCCTTTCAAAGCTAGAACACATTTTTAATAAATGCAAATTCATCCATGCACACTAAATAACTTCTAAGCTTACTCTGATGTTTGTAGTGATGAAAGGAACACTTCTTCTTTGGTCTTGCAGTTTGAAGCTCCCTAGGTCAAAGCTTGAATTTTTGTTCTCTCTCTCTCTCCTTCGTTTTTGTTTGTTCTAATTACTTCCAGAGGCTTAATCCTACTCTAGAAGCCACCTAGCATGGAATCATGGCTTTGCATGGGTTGCATCACCACCAATTACCTCCTCTTACTTGCAACATGTGAGGTGCTTGGAGGATAGGTAGTTTCATAATTGTCCTGAATTTTGAAATTTTTAGTTTTTTTTTCATTTTTTTTTAAAAACAAATCAATTTAATCATTTATAATACGACACTTTTATATTATAACATCTCCACTCATTTTAATAAAATTCTAAAATTCTAAAATTCTAAAATTCAAACCCAAACCTTTAACTATCCATATTTGAACTAATCCTAGTCCATCCAAACTTTTGTTTTTACTCGATTTCTTCAATCTAAACTAGGTTGACATTGAACCTTGAGTCTCACCATCACACTTATCACACCCACCTGTATTACGAGACCATGCTCAATCGAGCACAACTCTTCACACCCGACTCTCGTATTTTCAATCGTCACCATAATGGGTGCAACAAAGATTTATATAGCAGACTTGTATGGAATCTTATTTAAAAAGTAGGCTATATTGGTTCAATGTAGTTTTATAGCTTTTTGGTTTGTAACGAACTATATGGCATTTCGTAATTTTCGTTAAATATAATGAAGGGATAATTGTAGTGACCTTCTCGTAGTTTGCACTAGTTTCAAGGGATATCCTAATATTTCTAAGTAAAATACTAGACAACTCAAAAGAAATCTAAAAACTGTAATCAAAATGCATATTTTTAAAATTCCACTAACGCCTTGCATTTGATTTTGAATTTCACATGATACCCTTGTTGTGTGGAGTAGTTATAGACGGTAATAAAGATTGACGATGTTATATTTTATGTTTAAATTTATTCACGTATCCTCAATAAAAAACTTAAATAAAAAAAAAAAAATCAAACTTGAATCAACAAACTACCACCATTAGCCTGCCACATCATTAAGCAACAAACACTTCCTCCACCGCCACTACGACAGTGATATAGATGTATGTAGGAATATATGTATTAGATCTATTCCTGTTGTTCTATCATATTTCAATTTATATATTACTTGTCTCGTGTGTGTGTGTACAAGTTTTGTGCACGTTTTTGAGTAAGTGATTTGGCATAAGAGAGAAGAAATTGATAATGAAGAACTATGCTTGGATATTGGATTAAATTTATTAAAATAAAAAAAATGAATTCAATAATACTTTGACATAAGACTAAGGTATATTGGAAAAATTGGAAAAAGATGTGCCATTACTGGTTATGTTCACGCGGGTGTCATTGTAATTGTTTTTAGATTTGACTATGTGTGGTTTTTTTTCCTGAACGGTAACAAAATTTGGAATCAAGTGGAAACGAATGGGCTTGAAATAGAGTCCAAGTTTATAGACTTGGAGACAAATACTAGTGATTACCAAGAGAGAAGTCTCTATCAAGTGTTATCTTTTTGGCCGTTCCTACGTTCTTAGAACTGTAAAAAGTTTCTTTCTCGAACCATTTTGTCTGCTTCTTCTCCATAATCAAGTGATCTCAGATACTGCTCTTCTCATTCAATGAACTTCCTTCTTATCTTTTGGCCCTTCCTTATCTTTTCCCTAACCATTTGCTTTCGCTGAGGTTCCCCAATCCTCCTCATATCTCCGTAGTCAAAAAGATTCTTCTTCTTTATATTGGGATTCTCCATTTCATTTCCCAAGAGTTGTCAGAATTGTACTTCCAGATTTTTCTTGGTTATGGGTTTTTGTGGGTGTTCTGGGATTAGAGTTGTTAGAGTTGAGGAGAAAGAAACAGCAGCAAAAGTACAGACCTGCACGTGGGAGCTGAAGCTAAAAAAATGAATTCTGCTGATGAGAAAACTACCGAAAGTGAACTCTCCTTCAGCTCTTAACTTCCTTTGAATTTCCAGGTAACTTCTCAAATTCATCATATTCAAGTTGTTTTTCTTTTCTTTGATATGTGCCCTTTTTGATTTCTTTAATTTATAAAGTAACTAGACGTCTACATGTACGTGTTTATGTGTGTGAGAAATAAAAAGATGTAAAAGTGGAGTTTTGGGTTTGATGGTATGGGGAGATTCTGAACTACACACAAAAAGCTACTACCTTCAACTGGTACTGATTACATTCAACTGTGGAACTACCGGCGGCTTTCCGATCTCCCCAGACCCGTGGTAACGGGAGTCTAGTAGATTGGGCCCTCATTATTTTTTTACCCAAATTTATTTTTTAGAGACATATTTGCAGACTTTCTTCCGGGATCATTCCACAATTTTCACACGTACAAAAGTCAAAAGTGATGCAAAGAAGTAAGTCTTTACTTGTGCTAGTATGATGATGTATACTTGGGTTATACTGATGTACGTATTTCTTACGTATGTTATAGTTTTGCTAAGGTGGAGTAAAAAATTGGGATAAAGAAGATAAAGCAGAAGTTAAGATTTGAGTTCTTATTGAATCCATATTGATGATTAAACAATTAAATACACTGACTAAGCAGGAGTAGCTTGAAAGGGGGATCTGATTCCTTTATGGTCTAATCCACAACTAAAAACAAATTGACGTCTTAGCATCTGCTTAGCTCAGCCTTAGTCTCTCTCTCTCTCTCTCTCTCTCTCTCTCTCTCACACACACACACACACACACACACACACACAGAAGTAATTGTTTATTTGTTCATTGTTTAAATAAGTTGCACCCTTTTAAATGTAGGTAATGATTGTTGAATGTCTGTCTTCAGCTATTGCAAGGATGGACACCAACGGCAATAATTGAGCTTCTGATTTCCTATTGCAGCATGACCATATTGCCCTTGTCAAAGTCGAAAATGGCCAAAAGCCTAACACCTCTCTCCCTCCAAATTGTAACTATTTTCTTGTGTTTCTTCTACCTTTTCCCTCCATCAATGTCCCTAACCGTTGAAACTCAAGCCCTCCTTGAATTAAAAAAGCAGCTCAATGACCCTTTGAACCACTTAGATTCCTGGAAAGATTCAGAATCTCCTTGTCAATTTTTCGGAATTACTTGCGACTCAAACACGGGTCTAGTCACAAAAATTTCACTTGACAATATGTCATTGTCAGGTGAGATATCTCCATCAATTTCTGTGCTCCAAAGTCTCACATCTCTTTGGCTACCATCAAATTTGATTTCTGGGAATCTTCCAGCCCAATTGGTCCATTGCAGGAATCTGAAAATCTTGAATGTTACTGGAAACAACATGAATGGTAGCCTACCTGATCTATCCCGGTTGACAAACTTGGAAATTCTGGATTTGTCAACAAATTATTTTTCCGGGGAATTCCCGACTTGGGTCAGAATGTTGACAGGTTTGGTTTGGCTAGGCCTTGGTGATAATGAGTATAATGAGGGTGAAATATCAGAGGGCCTTGGAAATCTGAAGAACTTGACCTGGCTTTATTTGGCTGGTTCACATTTGAGGGGAGAAATCCCCGATTCTATTTTTGAACTCGAGGCATTGCAGACATTGGATATTTCCAATAACAAGATTTCTGGGAATTTCCCAAGGTCAATATCCAAACTTAAAAATCTTTACAAAATTGAGCTCTTTAAGAACAATTTGACAGGAGAAATCCCACCAGAGCTTGGGAATCTCACCCTTTTGCAGGAAATTGATATTTCCGCTAACCAAATGTATGGGAAAATACCTCCTGAGGTTGGCAATCTGAAGAATTTGACTGTTTTCCAAATATTTAAGAACAACTTCTCAGGAGAAATCCCTGCAACGTTTGGAGATATGCAACATCTTAAAGCCTTTTCCATCTACAGGAACAGTTTTTTTGGAAAGTTCCCAGAAAATCTTGGTCGGTTTTCACCACTAAACAGTATAGACATATCTGAGAATAAATTCTCTGGCGGATTCCCAAAATTCTTGTGCGCTAATGGGAACTTGCAGTTTTTGCTCGCTTTGGACAACAACTTTGCTGGCAAACTATCAGATACATATGCTGAGTGCAAATCTTTGATAAGGTTGAGGATCAACCAGAACAGACTATCTGGAAATATCCCTGGTGGATTGTGGGCACTGCCTTATTTACAAGTTATAGATTTCAGTGATAATGATTTTAGTGGAGGAATATCTCATGAAGTTGGTGCCTCTATCAACTTGAATGAGTTGGTAATTTCAAACAACAAATTTTCAGGTGACCTACCATCAGAACTTGGCAAACTCAATCAATTGGAAAGGCTTTATTTGAGTTACAATAACTTTTCAGGCAAAATTCCTTCTGAACTTGGAGCTCTAAAGCAGCTATCATCCTTGCATCTGGAGGAGAACTTGTTTACAGGCTCAATACCAAGGGAATTGGGTCACTGTTCCAGCTTGGTGGACCTAAATTTAGCTTCAAACTCCCTCAGTGGTGGTATCCCCAATACCTTTTCTCTGATGAGCTCTTTGAATTCCCTGAATCTATCAGAAAATAAACTGACTGGTTCAATTCCAAGCAATTTACAGAAACTAAAGTTATCTTCCATTGATTTTTCTAATAACCAGTTGTCAGGAGTAGTTCCATCGGATTTTTTGACCATGGGAGGTTACCAAGCATTCGTTGGTAATAAGAAACTTTGTATTGATGGACGTTCCCGTACCCCATCAAATTTTGGTTTGGAGGTTTGCAAAGGAGAGTCTGGCCACCGGAGATTCGTTAAAAATAAACTCGTCATGTTCTGCATCTTATTGCTGGCCTTGGTTGTTATTTTAGGAGGTTTACTGCTGGTGAGTTACTGGAACTTCAAGCTCAGTGAATCTGGCAATGAAAATGATCTGGGTGGAGAGAAGGAAATCCATCCAAAATGGAAACTCGAGAGTTTTCATCAGGTGGAATTCAATGCAGATGAAATATATGAGCTGGATGAGGACAATTTGCTTGGAACCGGAGGTACAGGGAAAGTTTATCGACTGGATTTGAAGAAAGGTGGTGGTACTGTGGCTGTGAAGCAACTATGGAAGGGAGATGTGGTAAAAGTTTTGACAGCAGAAATTGGGATTTTGGGGAAGATCAGGCATAGAAATATATTGAAGCTGTATGCCAGTTTAACGAAAGGAGGGTCAAATTTCTTGGTCTTTGAGTACATGGCCAATGGTAATCTATCTGAGGCACTTCACCGAGAACTTAAGGGTGGACGACCAGACTTGGATTGGTTTCAGCGGTATAGGATTGCCCTAGGAGCTGCGAAAGGAATTGCCTACTTACATCATGATTGTTCCCCACCTGTTATTCACAGAGATATTAAATCAAATAACATATTACTGGATGAGGATAGTGAACCAAAAATTGCAGATTTTGGTGTTGCAAAGATTGCAGAAGTGTCTCCTGGGGGATCTGAAACAAGCTATCTTGCTGGCACTCATGGTTACATCGCCCCTGGTGAGTTTCTGCTGATGCATATTCGAAACTATTTGGTATCTGGTCAGGATTTGGTTTCTATAGCAGCTTTTGTTTTGCTTCACGAATCTGCACACATACATTTGTAAACATATATGTATAATATTTGATATTCTTTTCACTTATGAATATTACGATAAGCTGTTAGGCATCAACCAAGGAATGGTGTTGACCAAATATGGAGCTTAATGTGCAGTTGCATAGCTACACCACCCCCATCAGGAATTGTTGACAAAAAATTGAGTTATTGTTACCCTTTTTGCAGGATAGTGATCAAGATTCTTGTTTAATATCACTAGTTTTATCCAACTCTATTGTTTCCACTCACCAAAATATACGAGTGTTCTGATGAATTTCTGTAGTCAAAATTTCATTTGTTTTCTATTGAATATTGATAGAAAAGGTTATGTCAGTCAAGTTGATTTTAAAATTTTTACTACACTGAAAAGTAAAGGATATCAAGTGGATTTATTTTTTTTCTATTAATTTTTGGTGTGTGCTTTTTTTCCTATGCAGAGCTGGCATATACTCTCAAAGTCACTGAGAAGAGTGATGTATATAGTTTTGGCATAGTGCTACTTGAACTAGTAACTGGTAGAAGACCAGTAGAGGAGGCTTATGGAGAAGGAAAGGATATAGTTTACTGGGTCTTGACTCATCTCAATGACCCGAAAAACATTCTCAAACTTCTTGACCATAAGGTGGTGTCGGACCTTGTCCAAGAAGACATGATAAAAGTCTTGAGGGTTGCTATGCTTTGCACGACCAAGCTTCCAAATCTGCGGCCTACTATGAGAGAAGTGGTCAAGATGCTTGTTGATGCTGAGCCTTACACTTTCAGGTCTCCGGAAAACTCTGAAAAATATGGGAAGGCTTTTCTTTAGTTTCTTTCCGTATTGGTAGCTAAATATCTCAGGTGTAAAATTTTCACTCAATGTTTAGGTCCCTCAGCATATTATTTCATAGTAGATTGCATTCCGTTTTTGATTTGTATGTGCAAGATTGCAATGCTTAAGTGTGTCAAATGAGTGGCCTTCAGTTTCATCTTAGATGAAATTGTCTTGTCTAACTGTATAAATTTGATGTCCAAGTGAACTTGTAGCTGTTATTGTGTATACAGTACAAATATATTGTTTCTGGATTGGTCAATGAAATTGGGTACTCTAGCTTTGTCGTCAGCTTTATCCGTATGTGATAAGCAACTGGGCAAAAGAAGGAAAATAATGTTTGGCAGAGAGCCTCGTAGGAAGATTGAACAAAATGGCAATAGGGGCAGTGGCAGTAGTAGTGCTTGTAAATAATAGCACTTTTTGCTTACAAATTCCTTGGAACAGATTGTGGACTGCAAAAAGATGGATATATGACATCTTGGTGAGTGTATTAACAGATTAGCAATTATTACTTGACCAAGCCAAATGGAAGGTAGCTAAAGGAGAGAACTTACAGAAATAGAGATGGAATTGGTTTTCAGGTGAAGCTATTGTGCAAACCAGTAACAGTAATTTGCTACTGGGAGAATGTTTTCATGACTCGAGCCCGGAGGTTAAGATGAATCAACCTTACTGCTGTAACAAGACTCCAACTGCGAAACAAGGTACAATAAAGACAAGAAGGATATTATATTGGGGCGGAGCCACCTCGGGACCATGGTGGGGACTTGCCTTTTTTATTTTGATCACCTTTGATTAGGTTCTCATAATGTTATTTAATATACTGCATTTATTTCCTTAAATTATGAATTTGTTTTATTAAAGTACTAGTTTTTTTTTTGTCCAATAATTTAATGGTCTATTACCCCCTAAAACAAATTTTTTTTGTTTGGAGTGAGAGAATTATATGTAAATGTTGTGGTCTATTTATATATATTGAAAAAAAGAAATCAATAATTATCTTCTATCTAATACAATGCTTCTTATTTTTTAGAAACAATTGTATAGCCGTTGTTTGCTATTCTTCCGTTTATTTGTAATCTGTAGCCAATAAAATAGGATTGTATGCAAAAAATTACATATTAGAACACAAATGTATTTTATACTATTTTAAATATGAAATTTCTCGATAAGCTTGATAATGATCTCAACTAGGTTTCACAATTATTAAAAAATAATTTTACTATGGGAATCTATGATTGTACGAATTGGTAGAAAATTAGTAAGAATTCTAACTCTTACAGTAAAACAAATATAAAAAAATATTAAGAATTTTAAAGGACATTGTATTTCACTGTAGCATATAATTAAAACATACTAAAAAAAATATATTTTATGTCCTTTTGTTCATATTTTATTTAAGAAAAATAAAAATTATTTTTACTACAATAATTTTATCTCCAATCTTTTGTCATTCTTGAATTCAATTTTTTTTCAATATGAACTAGTAAATATACTTTGCCCCCCTCATTTGGATTCGTGGCTCCGTCCCTGATGTCACACTACTCAGCAGAGTAACTGTATGCTTGATAGGAAGCCAAATAAATTTTTATCTCTATATCAAGAACCATTTGAGCTGTGGAAGTCTTCTTGGCAATTAGCAGAATCGCAGAGTCAGAATGCTTGTGTGGAAGCTTACAACAGGGGCTTTAGCAACAAGTCACAGTTCATGCATAAGTTAAAAAACATAGTATACATATTTGCCCTCTCTCTGAAAATAAGGAGTATCTTGAATATTTATTGTTATTACTTATTAGCCCCCTTGAATGAGGTATATGGAAGACAATACCTCGGCATAGTTTATTGACAATACCCAGAACAGAAAAATGGTGGCTGCAACATACAAGGCAAAGAATAAGGACTACTACGAAGAAGCCTCCCCCTCCAAGGTGGCCTTTCTACGTTGGCAATATGGAAAGCCAGAAATGAATCGGTTGCCCGAAAAAAGATGCCAGATGCTACAGGGGTACTGGAGAGCGATACTGAAGCTCACGAGAATATATAACATCTCAGAATTCTTCTGCAAAACACGGAACTAAATAGAGCAGTCTGCTTCCCAGGGTAATTGCTAGTCCCTTCAAGGGCGGAGGCAGCCCTTTTCCAAGGGGGCAAGTGCCCACCCTCAATTTTTTTATTTTATTGCTTAGTATGTATATTGTATATTCGTATAACATATTATCTGTGTCTACCCAAAATCAAAGACAAAAATATTAATGGACACTTACATCAAATGAATAATTCAAATTATGCCCTCCCTATATTTTTTGGCACATCAATTAGTGTATATTTATGTCAAATGAATATAATTTTTTTGACATATTTTGAACAGGTTATTTATCTATCCAGAGAAATTTTGAATATATTAGAATTATTTTATATTTTCTAAGACTAAAAAAGACATGATATGCATATTCGCTAATTTGCTTGTGATTTTGACATTTATTTTTGCTAATTATGGTAAAATTATAGAGTGTACATTGAACTGCATAATCGATCAAATGATTTATAAATATCAAAGTGATAACATGATTATGTATCTAAAGAATAATAAAATTGTTATGCAACGTTTCCAAAGTACAAAAATTCATCGAACTCAATTCTAAATAATTTAATTAGTTAATATTTTGTAAAAAAAATGTGACGCCCCTAAAACTAGGGGTCATTTGTCAACCCATTGACCACCCGTCAACCTGCAGAAGTACTCGTGATTGTCGTCCAACCCGATATCACGTCAATGACATCCCCTTAACCGAGATCATTACTCACACGTGTAACCGAGTACATTATACCATTTGATCAACCAAAGTCTAATATACCACTATTTATACTTATTTTATGTCTATTTGTGTCCTTGGAACCAAAGAACTCAAAGCCCAAAAACATGGCAAAACAATTTTAAAATTTTTAGATTTTTGGAGAACCTATGGGTAGGTTTTGCCTACTGGAAAAGTCCTACCATTAGGTTGTGCTTGATAATCAAAATTTTGCTTGTACAAGATCCAACTGGTAGGCGTTGCCCACACAGCGATCTACCGGTAGGTCCTATCGATAGGTTTTGTTCAATTTTGCTTGTTTCACCTGTTTTTCATTTCCAATTCATTTCAAGGCATATTATTTTCATCTAACACTTGCATATTGACAATTTTCATAATACACAAGGTTCATGTCAACTCTATTACATTCATTTCAAACCTGAGTTTTCATAATCATTACAATACTCAAAATAAAGCCACAACCCGGTTTTCTTCATCCTTGAGGTCTCATGTGAGGGCCATCCTCCGGCGTGTATCCCACACCTAAAATATTTTTTCGTATAAGATGAGCCACACACCACTAGAGTATTTCTTACAGAGGGTACTCCCCAACCTAAGTGCATGTGAAATGTTCATGTAACATTTAACAAGCAACTATCCCAAACAAGAATATACTATTCCATGTTGGAATTCTAGCAATGTCATGCCATGAAATAAGATGGGACCTGATAATACCTCAAAATAAATCTCAAGTACCAGCTTAGGAGGTCAGATCAGCCCAGGAGGTCAGACAAGGCAAGGAGAACTCGGAAGAGTAGAGTTGGAGGTCCCTTCGAGATAAGAAAGGGCAAGAACAACCAAGGCAACGGTTGGATAATCACGAGAGATTCCTAAAGCGTTAGGAAGCTATAATCAAGGCACCTAATCTCAACCAACCAAGATCTTCTCCTAGAATTAGGGAGAACCCTACGAAATAAGGACAAGAATCTCGGCCAGGATCCCACTTAGCAGGGAATGACCCTATAAATGCATTGTAACACCTCCTAACAGGGAGAGAACCCTAGCGGAAATAGGAAGCCATAGCAACTTTGTAATTATTGTGAATAAAACAAAAGGAGCAAGAACCTCCATTGAAGAGTGGACTAGCCGAGCTCCTAAGCCAGTGAACCACTATATTTTCACTGTGTGCACCCCCTTTAATCCCTAGGAATACTTCACGATAGCATCATACATGAGCCTCGTAGCTCTAATCCACGCTCATCTCACATTACTTTCACCTTAAGCTCATCCACGTTGATATACGTCATCAGGACCCAATCATGCAACTCAATTCGAGCCCTCCCTGGCTCTTTTTCACCCATGCAATGCTATAAGTAAAAAATTGGGGTTTTCAAGCCCCCGCCATTGGCGTTACACACCCAATGAATTTTTTTAAAATCTCTGGGTCTTTTTTGAGGTGGGTTTTTATGGACTTACACCAACAACACCCAATCGACACGGAATTTATGGGCTTCCACCAACGGTTTCGCGTACACCGACACACTTTATGGACTCTTATACCAACAAAGTGCGTATCCAATCACTGAGTCTCTCACCCGAGGGATTGTCTAGCCCTTCTTGCTAACCCCGACTTAATTCTTTTTCCATACAACCGTGCGACTCAATTGGATGTTTGATCCACCTTTCTTGAGCCCAACCATTATCCACCTACGTAATGTTTGATGTCAACCATGCATACACACACCCACACTCATGGCTATAGATGCGGTTCCTCCGTGCAAATATAATGTAATGCGCCATTGTTATATCAATGTCATGCCCATATGTATTGAATGTCACATGAGCAAGCTTAACCACATTTCTACATATTCCATGATCAATTATATCATATGCATATAATTACCAAACTTTATCACAATGTTAATATATCGATGAACATATATCAATATTTTATTTCTAACAATATTTCTCAAGTATGTTATTACATGATATGTGCCAATAACACACTCAAATTACAAAGGCATAATATAAACACATAATATAAACACACATAATACCAAATTTCATGGAATCACACAAATAATTTCCATATATTAATTCCAAGCTAGAAATTTTGTTTAAACCATTTCTATATCCATTTTCAATACTCATTTCCTCAATTTCACAAACCTAGGCAAATGATATATAACTCTATCAACCTATCCATCTCATATAACATTCTAGGTTAGGAAATTAAACCAAAGTAAGAAGGAACCCTACCTCTTAAACCGTAAAATGATCGTAGGAAGCCTTCAAGGACTTCAATCAGGCTAAAACCCTTGATTTCCTCAAGCCCTATTTTTTTGGAGCTTCGATGAAATCTTCAATTTTTGGTGTGGTCTTGTAGCCCACGTCAAGGAGAACAACTTTTTTTCTCGCCTCGGGGTGATTTGACCAAAGTTTGGCCCTTAATCGCAAGAGAAAAGCTCTCGATTTTCTTTCTCTCTCCTTCTCTCTCTTTCTCTGTATCGGGTAACGACTGAACATAAATGGGGGAGAAATAAGATTTTTCTCCCTATTTATACCCTCTAATTTCTTGGCCCACAATGCGCCACATGACCCTATTTTTCTCGGGTCCATTTTCGCCCCAAAACGATTAAATTTTGTCTCGGTTTAAGTTCAAAATATTTTTTATTTTAAATTACCTCAAATTATTTTGCAAATTTTGAAATTTTATTTAAAAAGTTTGTTTTGGATCACCCGAGACCTGACCGTCTTGTAAAACGTGAAAAATTTCACTATCTTAGAATTTAACGAAAATTGATAGGGTAGCTAGATTTCGCGAGACAAATTTAACGGTAAGGTCCGTTTAGTCATCCAATATCTAAAAAATTCAAATTTTTAACCCGTACCGAATAGACAAATTACCGTTTTGCTCATTTGATCAGAAAAGTTTAAATTTATCCGAGTTTTTACATTCTTCCCCCTTATAAGAATTTTGTCCCTAAAATTCACACACACATACACACTTAACCGCATGCATATGCAACATTAATACTATGCTTAAAATTATAGAAATGTACCTCCATCATCGAACAGGAACGGATAATTGGTATGAATG